TTTCACAAATTTACTCGTCAATAGTTAAAGTCTCATGGGAAATATCTCGAGGAGTCGATAGATAATCATAAGATAAGTGTTCCCAGACAAAGATGGTTGGTTTAGCCAATATCAATTACGATTTTCAATACAGAATCCGGGACATGCTCTAATTCATCATGAAGAAGAAAGATCAAAATTCGGAGAAACATAAACCCTTTCCCAAACAAAGGGGCTGAACCTGAGACTACATTTCTTTCTTTCCAACACTAGGCAATACTAAAGTTAAAATCTTTGAAAAATATAACGCTGGAACTCCCTCGATTATATATGCATTAAATCCATTTGCAGTAAGCTGACAAAAGTAAAAGGTCTTGAAAAGGAAGAATTAGAGAAGAAGCTGACCTCGGACGCCCTGGATTCAAGTTTTTCGATGTAATTTCTCAACAATTGAGATTCAAGTTCCCGTTTTTCAATCTCAGCAAGCTGTCTCTTAGCGATCTCTACTCTCTGCGAGGCCTTCTCCAATCCATCAAGCAAACCCTTGTTCTCTTCTTTGTTCAAAAGCTCCTCGACCTGCTTGCCCAGAATACCGGAAAGTGCTTCCTTCAAGCCATTGCTTGTTTCTTGTTCCTCTGAGTTCCCGCTGCATTTCAAGCTGAGAGGCTTTAGCAGAGGAGAAATGGGGCCATTTGGACATGTTGAAGGAGAAAAGAAGAAGGGATCTTTGAACAAGAATATGGGTTTCGAAGAGAGAAGCAAAGTGGAAGTGATTGCTGATGGCATTGATTGATGCAGAGATTGCAACACTTGGATCCCTATGCAAAGCTTATCTTTTCTCTCTTGCTCGCTCAAGTCCTGACCCCTTATTTAGCGATTCATTGTTTAGATATGATTTAATATAAAAATAATTGTCTAAATTATATTTTGAAAAGTATTTTAGTGTTTAATTTTTTTTTTGTTAAAAATAAATGTTTAATATTTTTTAATTATATTTTTAGATGTTTATCATTATATTTTTTATTTGTTTATCTTTTATAAATAAAATATTATTTTTTTAGAAAAAAATTTAAAAACTTAATTTATTTATAAAAAACTCAAAGTTTTTAAAACTTACAAAATAACCTCGGTTAGGTTTTCACCAGAGCTTCGAAGCTTCCTCCATGGCAAACGACGATGCTACTCGATGAGAGGATGGTTGGATTTTCTTCGACGTGAGACGAAGCTCTCACTGTGTAAATAGTGACGATCACGACTGACCGGAGAAGGGTTTGACAGTGAGATACAACGAATAGATTCTTATTGTTTTGTGACAATCGACACTCGATTTAGGTGATTGTTGATAAGTACTGATAAAACTGTTGGTGGTAGTGGCGGTGTATGCCATCAACTGTTGGTGGGGGTGGGGGTGGGGGTGGTGTTGGGGAAGGGAGAAGGGAGAAGGGAGAAGGGAAAAGGGAGGGGGTGGGGGTGAGGGTGAGATTTTTTTTAAAAGAAAAAGTTTTTTTTTAAAAATAATTTAAAAAAAATATCTTTATTTTTTAAAAATAATTTCTTAAATTTATCAAAAATTTGATACATGTCTCTCAATAAAAATTTTAACGACGATTAATGTCAAAACACTTAAAAATATAACGTTTATTACGTTAGATATTTACGCCATTATATAATGGAAATAATTGGAAATATTTGAAAATGATGTATTTTATGTGAAAGTGTATAAAGTAAAGGGTTTTAGCGGTGGGAGTTAAAAATTGGGAAATAAAGGCATGCGGGTACTTTCAGGGTTTAACCAGAGAATTTTCAACTTGTCCAAAACCCTCTCGCGCCCGCTCATGGCTACCTCTAACCTTACTAGGGTTTCTTCTCCGGCTTACACCACTGGCTCCCCCGCACAGGCTCCTTTTAAGCGGGTTGGCTCTCACAACGGCAGTTTCCACTGCGATGAGGCCCTTGGCTGCTTCATGATTCGTCTCACTGACAAGTTTTCCCACTCCGAGATTGTCCGTACCCGAGATCCCAAGGTTAGTTTTTTTTGCCAACCATTGTAGTGGAGTTAGAAGAAATGTAAATTATGAAATGGGTTTTCTTTTGGGTCTAAATATGTGCTGCTTTTGCTTATCTGTGAAGCTTTATTGTTGTTTGCAAGTTTTATACAAGTTTTGCCTGTAAATTACAAAACTTGAAATCTAGAGCCGATTGGGGAAGTGGGTTGTTTATTATGGGATTCATGTGGTTTATTTTGTTCTCCTTTGGTGTTTATGCTTCTTCTTTGAAGGTTCTTTATAAGATTGATCTGAGTTTGCAGGTATTGGAGGGGCTTGATGCTGTGCTTGATGTTGGAGGCGTGTATGATCCTAGTCGTGACCGATATGATCATCACCAGAAGGGATTTGAGGAAGTGTTTGGACATGGTTTTAATACAAAGCTTAGCAGTGCTGGACTTGTTTATAAGGTATTCATTTCTTCCATGGGGAAATTGAAGCTTCTTTCCGTGGTTCTCTACTTTTCCTTCTTGTGCATTGTGGTCTGATACAACTTCTTGATATAGTATAATATGAGCAATGATATCTTTTGGTAGATTATTATATTTCTTCATTATAGTAATTTCCCCTGTATCTAGCATTTCGGCAAGGAGATAATAGCTAAAGAACGTCAGCTTGGAGAAGATCACCCGGATGTGCATAGATTATTTCTGGCTATTTACAAAAGCTTCATGGAGGTACTTATATTTTTTATTCTTTAATGTTTGACTTGAACTTCCAAATCTTTTATGGGAGTAGATGAGATGCTATTTTCTTGGTTTTCCCTTTCCTATGCTTTAGTTAATCGATCATGGTTTAGATGTTCAATTGGGATATTGTTTTTTTGCGGTTACCAGGCAATTGATGCGGTTGACAATGGAATCAACCAGTTTGATACTGACAAGCCTCCAAGATATGTGAACAATACACACTTATCTTCTAGGGTAGGAAGATTAAATCTAGACTGGACAGATCCTGATCAATCAACTGAGAAGGAGAATGAGGCTTTCCAACGAGCAATGGCTTTAGCCGGTAGTGAGTTCTTAGAAGTAAGGTTCTGCCAAAATTAAATTACCTAAATATACTATTATTAGGATGGTCTTCAATTTCCTCGAAAAGGATTATTTTCATTGCCTTCTGAAGGTAAACATGTTTATACTGTATTATTCTTCATAATTTAATAGTTTTCTGGTATTCAATTTTCAGAGTTTACGATTTCATGCAAAATCATGGTTACCAGCAAGGTCAATTGTAATGGAGTGTATTGCCGAGAGATTTGATGTAGATCCTAGTGGTGAAATTATGGTTTTAAAAAGGTTTTGCCCTGTAAGTAGATGTTTCTCATTTTCCTCCAGTAATTTTCTTCTTCAACTAACCCTGCATAAGTTTATGACATGGAAACTTCAATCAAATAACCTGTTTAACTTCCAGTAGCATGCGACATGAATATATTACTACAAGTGATCGTGTCTTATGATTGAATACATCATTTTTCTTACAATTAAGTCTGATTTCATTTCGCATCCAACAGTGGAAACTTCACTTATTTGAGCTTGAAGAGGAGCTGAAGATTGAGCCTCCAATTAAGTACGTTCTTTATGAGGTATGCACCAATCTTCCTTTCAAACAAGATTTTGAACGTGTTGTTCCTAGATTAAAGAGTGTTGTCTGGTAAATGGTTTTGTATATATAGTTTACTTCTGTTTCCCGATCATCCAAGTTGCAGTTATTTTTGCTCTTTTCTGGGATTTTTAGATAGATTCTTACCGTACTCGTGACCCAGGATGAAAGAGGCAAACAATGGCGAGTTCAGGCAGTTGCAGTATCTCCTGATAGTTTTGAGAGCCGGAGGCCCCTCCCTGCTCTGTGGCGAGGGTTGAGGGACGATGAGCTGTCGAAAGGGGCAGGAATTTCTGGCTGCGTCTTTGTTCACATGAGTGGGTTTATCGGTGGAAACCAAACTTACGAGGGTGCTCTAGCGATGTCAAAAAATGCTCTAAAAATATGATCTTGGGAAATTGCTTTTATTTCTTTCACTTGGCATGACATCTTATTCATGACTCTATGACAGGATTTGTATTATTTACCAAATGGCTTTATTCAGTGTAGGATGATCTGAAATCTGAAGACTTTCCTTTTATTTTTCCTATAAATGAGCTAATGGACACCTTCACAGAAATGGTTCATTTTACATTGAATTCAATGCCACGAGGGAGTATTATATGCTTGATATTCTGTATTTTCCACATCTTTTAGCAACAGGGGTGTTTAGAAATGTGGGATTGAGAGTTGCATCATACGGTGGACTTGATTACGCAATTTCAAGTAATTTTTTTCGAACTTGGTCCTTCAGTTTTTTTCTGATTCACGTCATTCTTTGGATTTGGATTTTTGGCTCATTTAGCCCTCTTGATGATGATACAATACTAGGTTTACCATCATCAAAATAAATTGGAAAATAGTCAGATTAATGTGGATCAGATCAAAATTTAGAGATTAAGGTATAAAAAAATAGGATAAACTATACCAAATACCATGGAACTTTAAGACTTGTATAGTTTATACTATTAAATTTTCATTTTTGTTAATTATGATACTAGATTTTGATTTTTTGTTTCAATTATATCATTAAATTGTTAATGACGTGATTAATGGTTGTTGACATAGACACTCACCAAAATAACGTTATTTTAATCTGACTATTAACGATTTAACGACCCAATAATATAATTGAAATGAAACCCAAAGTTCAGTGCTATAATCACCAAAATTAAAAGTTCAATTCTATAAACGATAGTGTCTAAATTTGATGGTATTTTGTGTAGTTTACCCAAAAAATTGTATAGTTTAAAAACTAATATAAACTAAAATCAAGTTCAAAAGTTCGGAGTAATTTAGGGTAAAAAATAATGAACTAGGAGCCAATCGCAGCTCCTATTAACTGGTACTTAGGGTCCAGTGAGAAGTTTTGATTCTCACCGGAGCATGTCGAAAGTGTGTTGAAAGTTTAAGCTTGATTTCGATTTGATCAAATTCTTACATTGGTTAAACCATGCTTCAATTGTTCAAAGCTTGATATCATATGAAACCAAGATTAAAACTTTATAAAAGGGCTGAATCAGTAAGAAGGGATGGGTGAACCTCTCAGGCACAATTAAAAAAAGGTTCAACGGCCCTCAGAAATAATCATCAAAGGCCAGGATTTGATGTTACTTTGAGCCGGCCATATCAGCATCTACAGCCATTGTCCTCTCTTCAGGAGCAGCAGGGTCTGCAAACTGTGATCTTGCCTCCATCGCAAAGGTACTTATAGCAGCAGTAGAATCTATTTCCATAGCAGAAGCTTTGGGTGGAGAGGGAGGTTGTACCTCCACATGTGGGTAGGCAGCCTTGTACCTTGCTCTTAGCCCTTCGTCAACTAGTCGAACTCCGTTCAGCTGATTCCCGAGTGATATCCATCTGATGGGAAATACGTAGAGAGGAGACTCAAGAATACATTAGGTACTGAAATGGACAAATATAGAATATATTTTAAGACTTGAAACCTTCTAGGATCGCTCTTGATCCTCAAACATACCCTCTCATAGATGATAATACATGATATTCAAATAATTTTAATGAAAGAACAAGGATCCAAGATGTCATACCCTGCATGAGTATTATGCATGCGAGCAAATAATTCCAGCTTCCTTGTCCTAGGACTTATCCTCTCTAGCATAGGGTACATCTGCAGAGTTAAAGTTTTCATCAAAAGGTAAGTTCTTGAACCACATAACAGGTCATTGCAAATAAACAAAACACTACAACAGCGATAAAGTTCAGCCATTTCTGTAATGAAATGATATTGTAAGATGCACAACATTATATTTCAAAAACAATGTCCAAGGTCGACAACATCCTTATCTATCATTCCTTACATCAAGTGGAAAAGATATTCTTGTTTATTTCTGGATTACGGCCAAACATGTAGGGTGTATGAAATATATGATCCACAAATCTCATCTGGCTTACGGCTAGTCTCTCGAACCTCGGCAACAAGGACATCTGTATTGATATTCTTGTTTATTTCTGGATTTCCCTTGATTCCTACAAGGCAATGTTCCTTACTATGGTTTAACCAATGACCCGTTCTTCCAGTTCTAATTATTCGCTGAAGTTGATTCGTTTTTACCCAAATAATCTCCTCACACCGCTTGTACCCCCATTGTTCCAAACTGCAAGAAGCACGATTTCTTTTACATATATGAATAACAGATTTAAGGCATCTCTCGTCAAAAATTATAACTTGAAAAAATTATATGTTAAAACTAACAAACATGCAGAATAAAGCACGAACCATTCCCGCCCTAGCTCCATTGCACGTCCAGTTACCCAAAGGAAGATCAGACCATCAGTCTGCAATGCAGGAACATTAAGATTGTGCATCTCATCATCAGCCATTGTTCCATAAGGCAGCCATATGAATATCCCATGGTGGATCTGCCAAGATGACACCAAACTGCCCCAAAATGTCCATTCTAAAATTCCGGATATCACAATTAATCCATTGTGATTCACCAAGCTCCACTTCTGAACAATATTCAGCACGTGGCGGCTTCAACTGTTTCTCAGGACCAAGATCGCCATGTGTTTGGTCAAGCTCATAATGGACATATTTGCATGTCTATCGAACAATATTAAATTGACATTACTCTCAAGTAGTATTTGTAATAAGATGGCAACAGAAAGAAACTTGATAAAATGTTGATCTATTTAGTATAAAAATAGGTTACCTTCATGTGTCGGCAAGTATCTAGAAATGAACAATCCCCTAAACTGATGTCAGTATGAGGAGCAATTCTTCTTTTAAAATGAACCTGAAAAGAGATCAACAAATAGTAATACAACATTGCAAATAGGCAAATCATGAGTCATAAAAGGATCCTTCTAAAAGGTAGTCAAATGATTTTGTGGAAGTTCAAATGACAGCACCACATAAGACATAGCCATATACAGCGACAACCATTACTTGAACCCGATAATAACACTATGGGTTAAAGCTCAATGATGCAACCTTTCATCCCTACAAACAAGAGCCATAACAGAGAGGCTTTTGCTACACTTTTTTTAATTTGAAATGTAGAGAAACTCTTGCAGGCACCTATGATGCAGTTGAAATTGTTGCCATACCTTCTTACAGGCAAGAAAAGTGCCAGATTGCCTTTGACAGTCCTCCTTTGTTAAAGATGAACAATACTCCCTCACTTGAGAACCTCCTTTGCTTTTAAACTATAACAAGTGATTTGAACACACTCATTAGCTAAATAAACAAGAAGAAAATCAAAACGTTGAATTAGAAGAAAAAACTAAATGAAACCCAATATACCTTAGCAGCCACAGCTGTTTCCTTAGCAGTTGGGCGATTAATGATGTTCAAAATCTCCTCACCCGTCTTGGACTTCTGCATTTCCTTGAACGACTTCTTATTCAACAAAGCTTCCAAATCCTTCAAATCATCTTCTTCGGTCCTTTGTCTCTGCGCCGGCAAAAGACCGCTGTTTGGTGCCATCGGCGGCCTACCTATCATCCACATTCCGCGACCTCTAGGGCCTGCCATCGGGCCACCCGGCGGATACATCATGCCAGGGTCACCCATCCACATTTCACCCATTGGTCTCGGTGCTAACCACTCGTTACTGTTACTATTAATTTTCAAGTTGACACTTTCGTTAGCGTTGTTTAGCCTCTCTTTTTGGATGATTTTCAGGTTCTTCAGGTAATTCCCTAACTAACCGGGTTTGATCGATGCTAAGTACCATGACCCTGCTTTTGCCGCCTATGTCAAACTCTTCGATCTTGAGGACGCCGTTATCCCCCGCCATCGTTGCTACAGCGTCTTCGCCGCCTGTGTTGCTCTCCATGGCCGTGCCGTGTGTTTTTGCTGGTTTTGGGTGGGGTTTACACGCGTAAAACCAACTGGTGGATTTTAGGACGTTGGGCTCTTGTTTACCGGTTAGCGGCTTAATATCTAGTTGGATCCACGGAAAACACACACAAATTGTTATTACTTTTTTTAAATATTTTGAAAATTATTTAAATTTAAATTTATACAATTATATAATTAAGATTTTCATAATTGAATTTCATGGTAATATGTATTATATATTTGTTTGCGTAAACTCGCGTATACATGAAAGATGATATTATTTAAAACTATATCATTTATACTAATCAAACGATGTCACTAGTTAAAATAATGTTATTCTTAAAGGTATTAGATTACCGATTAACAAAGACTTACTATTTTGCATACCACGTGGAAAGCAGATTGACGCTTAACAAAGACATGGTACACATTAAAGTTTCCATGGCGAGCCAGCCTCTCAAGTGGAAAGCAGATTTTACAATTGAGCGATCCATTTATTATACACATAATAATATTAGTAACTATTTTGTTATTTTTCAAATATCAGTGAAAAAAAGGGAGAAATTTACTCATATTTTTAGTGACCATTTGTGTAATTAACCCATTATTTTTGGTAGAGCGCAGGGCTCTTAATCTTGTGGTCATGGGATCGAGTCACACAGTAGATAATTCATAATTCTGACTGTCGGAGATCTTCCACGGAAGTTGCTCTCAACCTGGCGTTGGGGACAACCTACTACCATACCTCCCCTTACCTCATTACATATGGGAATAGACTCGGCTAATTTTAATTTTTTGTGACCATTTGTGGAAGAAAGATGTAATGGAATTTGAGAACTACATATAAACTGTAAGAATCGTACAATCAAATAAAATCTGTGCCTAAATAATGAAAGTTTGGTCAAGAAATGATTTCTTCCAATGCAAATCACAGCTAAAAAAAAGGTACTATCATAAGCTAAAGGAAGAGGAGAAACACTCTCGAGTTAGCAGGTAAAAGATATTGTACATCAAATCACAGAAACTTTCTTCTTTGTCATCCACCTCTTCCTGGCGTTTTCAATGGCTTCTTCTCTCATCCTTACGAGCTCTTGAAAACACTGCTGGTACTGTGAATCTATCGCATCGAGCTCCGATTTCAGCTCCTCCAACTTATCCTTGTCTGCAAAGGATAGACAGTCGATGCTAGACGAGCTCATATCTCGCGATGCAAAAGAACAAGAATCCATTAAGGATGTCTCAGAGTTCTTATTGGAGTCTTTTATCACAATATATTCCCCGAGGTTTTTCTCATCACTGGTCTCTTTAATCTCAAGACGGTTAATATCTAAGCCAAAAGCATATGTGTTCAGACCGTTATGGCACTCAACATAACCGTGATCAGAATACCCCATTGGTTTGTTGTCGCTCCTGTCTGAGGCCGACATTCCATCAAATTCAGTAGATATATCTGAATCAAAAGATTCTTCAGGGTCTTGACATTTCAAGATAACCGACCGGCATGAAATGCTTCCAAATGAAGGTTTCCAGCAGGGTACAAGCTTCATGATCATGCTATCAATCAACTCTGCAATGACAGCTACATCTTCATTTGACAAATCAAGTTGTTCAACCATCTCCTCAGCGATTGCAATAGCGGTATCAGAATCTAGATAAAATGAAAAATGGATATTTCTTGCTCGACCTGTGAAAAGGCATACCATTTCACATTATTCTTTTTTATTTTTCCAAACAAAAAGAAAAGCGAGTAAGACTTTTTCTATAGCAGACTCACCACATTGATCAGAAATGCGCAAGGTCAGTGAAACTGTATTATCATCATTCTTCTCCCCTTTTAGCCTAAATTCATTCTTCTCAGTGAAACACTGTAGCTCAAGGGATGAGAACACAGGAGCTTCTTTGATGTTTCTTGTAGATGAATTTACTAGAAGCGTTTTGCAGTTGGGATCTATTTCCATGAGATGAGGCTCAGCCTGAATCAAGTTTACTAGTGGACCACTGGCAGCTGCCTTGGGAGTTTCAGCAAAAAGGAATGGATCTTTCAAGAGTTCCACAACTGGCGGTCTCATAGATGCTGGAAGAAGACACTTCTCAATAAACCGCTTAATTTGTGGATCATTCACTTTACCAAGGGAAGCAGGTTTAATACCCTGCAGTGGAAGAAGTTGAGAGAGATTAAATGATCACTTCATAGAATTATGGAAGAATTATTGGAGATGGTCGTCAACTTACAGAGGTAACTTTCTTGTATATTTGTGCCGGATTTTTGCATTCGTTATATGGATATTCGCAAGTAACCAACTCCAATATGCACAGACCAAAAGAATATATGTCAACAAGTTCATTATATTCCTCGTCGTAAAGCTCGGGAGCCATGAATTCAGGAGTGCCTGCACAATAACAAAGTATTACAAACTTCAACCAAGATGGATTAGCCGGAGTCACATTGTTACTTATTTTTGAGAAAATGAAGTACCAATTACACTTCGGGCAGTGGGCTGCTGCATGACAGTTGCCAATCCAAGATCTCCAATCTTCACTTCTCCATTATTTCCATTAACAAAAATATTATCACATTTCAAATCCCTATGAATGATCGGAGGATTGTGACAATGCAGATAGTGTAAACCTCTAAGGATCTGCCATGCCCAGCTCTTGATGGCCTTCACCTCAACATTTTTATGCTTCTTTCGGTATCTAAAGGAGAGCAAATCTCAGCATATAAAAAAATGAATGACGAAGCCAGAAAAGAATGGGAAAAGAAAAGGCATTCATTGAACTCACTGCCTCAAACTTCCCGAAGTAAACAATTCTGTTATCATGTTGATGGTCTTGTTCTTATCATCCACCCAGGAATCGTAGAACTTGATAACTTTTTCGTGCTTCAAGGACTTCAAAAGATGAACCTCCGAATATAATCTTTCCAGCTGCTCAGGCTTCTGCAACACATCTTCAATACTGATTTGGCTCCATGCAACCTCTATTCCATCAACTTCATCAAATCCCTTGTAACTACAAACAACAATGTAGCAGCCAAAACATGAAAATAAATCAAACACAGTTCTGTCGAAGTTAACCAAATTCAAAGAAGATAGGTCTTGGAAACATACACAGTCTTGAACGCTCCCCTCCCCAAGATCTCGTCATACTGAGGGAAAGAAAACAAAACAAACCAAAAAACAATTGTATCACTGAATTCAAAAGGGCAAACTAATTTGAGTTCTACTAAAGCAAACTAATAAAAAAAAGCATATATAGGATAACATTGGCCTTTTCGTTGATCATACATATATATCAAGTTTAATATTGCTCATTTAAATGGAAGCACAATAAGAAATTAATCCCCTTAAAAAAAGCAAGAAAAACTTACTCAGAAGAGCTATAAATCTGGCCAAAGATGAAATATTTACAAACTATTAAACCAGTAGAAGCTAAGCAATAATCAAAGGTGGTTAAATTTCGAACAATTGATTCCATACTCAAACTTAGCGTTGTTTACTTGCTATTAAATAGATAGCAAAATTTTACCTTGGAATGCAATCTGACAATATTTTACAGACAAAATTACGCCTAAACAGTACGCAGTATTTGGTTATTATATAAAAGTCTCGCAATGTCCTCCAAATTTCTTGGCAACCAAACAGATACCAAGTAACCCCAAGCCCCTAACAAAGAGAAAACGAACAATATATCTAAACGAAACAGGATTCGGAGCCAGAAAACATACCCGAACATACCGACCCGAGGGATCTTTCTCAGTGAAATCACAGTCATCAGCCACCTCCATTGTATTTTTTTTTATGTACAAAGAACAAACCTAGGCCCCTACCCTATCGACAATTCCAACAACAACGGCCAAAATAAAATCCTCGAAAAAGAAAAACAAGAAAAAACTCCAAAAGAAACAGAAAAGGGGGAAGAAAACGCTATTAGAGATCAAAACAGATCCCGATCAGATACGAAGAAGAAAGGAAGAGGAAGAGGAGAGAGTCTGCTGTTGTTCTTCAGAGAATGACTCACAAGCTATAGAGTATGAATCGAATGCCGATCGAAACCGGGACCGGCATCCGAAGGCCATGACCAAACGCATATCTTCCTCGGTTTCCCGAGATCTCAATTCCATAGGGCTCCTATTCCTCCCTGGATTCAGTTTTCTCTTCATGTTAATACCAATCCCGGATTCTCCCCGAATAACGCTATCCGCATTGTAACTCCCCTAATTAATTAGGGTTTTCAAGAGATATCTGGATTTCTGAGACAACCTAATCACTGGAAACTTTGGGGTCTAGAGATTTAAAAGAGCTTAACGAGTAAATTCATGCAAAGGGGGGAAACAAAAAGACATAAAAGGAAGTATCTATCGCTATCGGCAACGGCATGTATAGGATGTAAAGGGAGTGGAGGAATCACACGCGCACATATAGGAGCGTGTGTCTAAGGTAGGAGTTTTTCTTAAAGGGATTCGATTTCTTAGCCTTTTAGATGATAAAAATAAAATGAAACTAAAAGAGTGGTTTATAGCGGTTCGTGCATTTGATTGGAAAGGTGAAACAAAAGGCCCGTGAAACGAGTGTGAATGAACGCGTAAAGTTTGGACCTTTTAGAGAGGAAAAGGGAAAACATCCAGTTGGAAGCCATACTTCTCTTTTAGGCCCACAATCATTCATGCTTTGCTTGACGCCAAATTCTCCCTTTTCAAAACTTTAAAAGTAATATGATATTGGGAAAATTTTCTGTAAATAAAAATACAATTATATTTAGAATTTATTAAAAACATGTATTTTAAAATAAAAATATATAGCACATTATTATTTTTAAAATATTATTAATAAAATTATTAATTGAACTAGAATCACGAACTAACTTAATCCTAATTTAACCAATAATTAAAATATCAGTTCTTTTAAAATTATAATTGATGATGGTTTTTTTTATATTTTTATATATTATTTAAGTAAAATAAATAAAATAAAATAAAAAATCGGTGTAGGAATT